ACAACAGTCAGAAAAACAGACTTCAAACATGAATGTATCGACTTCTTCTTGAATATCTTCAAGTGTAAGTTTTTCGGCATGCATTTGTGTGATCAGATTGTCAAGAAAGACTCGACGACGTGTATTCCTTTGCGAATCATTGTTCTCGATATTGTTCATGTTGAATGTAGCCATACGTTGTTGAATGACCTTGATACAAAAATTCGATAAGAGGTACGAATAGATCAAATTACCTCTCGAGAGAAATCATGAAGAATCTTCAGTTGTCGTTTTTGATCACGACCGATTGGTAACCGCTCGAAGATGAACGCCGGCCACAACCATGGAGATCGTGCTCGCACATTCAGTATATCACACATTCTACAAGACAGTTTAATCAAAGTTTCTTCGAAAGTGTTTTCATAGATTCTTACCGCATAGTTGCCTCAACAAATGCGTTTTTGCCATTGGTAGCTGTATCCAATTGAGCCTGAGGATTTGTACCCATGGCCGCTTCTAGATAGACATAAAAAATTCATTTAAATTGAAGTTTATCGATTAGAGAAATGACCAGCAATGATATCGAGTGTACATGCGGATATATATGAATATAGATCGTGAGTCTTGTTTGCTTGTTCTGGTTGAGCAAGCTTATCAAGATTACGAACAAGAATAGTTGCTTGTTCATTGAATATTAACATAAAACTGCGTAACAGATTAGTATCATGGAATGATGGAGTGATGAGTCGACGGCGACTTCGCCATTTCTCATTGTTACTATGTAAAATATAGAAATATAAACATGAAATGGTCACTTGTTTGAATTCATCTGTACCTTGTGAGCAAACCGGTCTTTAGCCAAGGTTCGAAGAGTGTATAGTCAAATGATTTGACCAATTGTTTGTTAATAAATGTCTGATGTAAGGAAAGAAAATCTCATTCGAACGTAATACATGGTCGTAAAACTGCTCATACCTCTAGTCCATCGGCTTTACACAAAAATATCATCGGCTTTATCGAATACCAGACGCAAAAAACACCCTTTTGTTGTCGTTGGCATTCTTTAGACAATTGCAACAGTAGATTGCAGTTGATTTCTGATCGTCGATCGAATTGATGAAGATTGCCAACGAATGGAATCGATGACCGAGGTAAACCTGGAATTGTTTGATAGTCGTGTAATAAGTGTTTATATCGCACCAATATGGGTCTTGTAAAATATGCAACAATAAGAATGAGAAAAAAAAGTATGGCCAATGTGTACACCATGCTTTACAGCCGTCTTCGATTGATACAAAAACGTAAGTGAGAATGACGACCGAACGAAAAAAAAAACAAGAGACAAAGTACCCTAGAGAATATACTGAGTTAAGGATACCCAAAAAAGTACCCTGATACCAGTATGTCACAGGAACTTTTGGGTACCAAAGTACTTGCAGGTACTTACAGGTACCTATGTGGTTCTTTGGCAAGTACCCTGCTGGAAAATGCACAGTAATTGGGTACCTAAAGGTACTGATCAAGTACTGAATTGGGTACCATTGTATAGTATTTCTAAGTACCCTGTTACCAAATTTTCAGTATGTTCAGGATCGAACCTGATCTTTGACTTTTTAAAATTTTTTCTTTTTCTTGAGATAATTTACTAGATTTTTTTTTTACTTTATTCAATTTAATTTTTTCAATTCCAAAAACTTAGCAGGAACAATTTCGGGATCCGACTCAGCTTGAGTTGGTCGTAGACCACTTCAGGGTAGTCCGATCTTAATTTACGACCAAGCTCGGCATTTCCTCGAGTAAGAAATAGTCAAGAAATAATTTAGAAAAAAAACTAGTATGAAAATTGATTATTTTCTTATGATTTATCGAGTTGTTTATATAGAGCCATACGTAAAAAAGAAAAACGGTGAATGAATAGTCGCCACACAGAACGCGAAAAATTTAGGATACCCTGTCGAGATTTCCTCAGTAAAGTTACAGACTTGTGTATCCATGCAGGTACTTATTCAGTGAATGTACTTTTACGGGTACCCCAAACAGTACATACATCAGTAAAATTACTGAGAATTTTCAAAGTACCCATATTGGGTACCATGCTAGAGCTTTCTCAGTACATGGGTACCCTGAACTCAGTACTTCCTCTAGGGTAGTGTCGTGAGCGCAAAGAAAGAGAGAGTAGGATATATTTCACCTCAAAAAAAACAACCAATGGCGTATCATTTGTAGATATAGTCAGCTGTCGAGGAAAATGAAGATGCTTGACTTTTGAAAAGTCGATCTTTTCTTTTCAGTTCTCGGATAATTATTGAAGAAAAAAATTCAAAATGAACATCTATCATATTTTAGAATTCTCCAAACTAAAAAAGACATAGTCAAAACCTACTTCGTTTCTAAACTTTTTCTCGTCACTCTGTTACAATATTATTGCGTATGTATGGATGTATGACTGATGAGAAAACTCACATTCACACCCACTTATTCTTCTTTCTACAAATCCTTAAAAAAATTTACCATTGATAAAGAAAATAAAACAACAACTTGTTATTTGAGATGACCAACGAGAATTTTTCTTTTTTTTTAAAGAAAATTGTTCGATGTTGACTTATCAAAACTGTAGTTATACATTTTTTTTAGAATCGTTATTCAGAAATCAATTTTTTAAAAATATTCCTTTAAAAGACATTTTTAATGCTTAATGCTAGACATGAAGAAGATAAGCTTTTTCCAGTTACGATATTTGTTGGTTGAATAAGTTTTATGAAGACTGAAAATCGTTCTTTCGATGAATCTTTATTTTTCATTAAATAGTCTTGCTTTATTCATTATTTAATATATTCTTTTCCTTTTGTTTTAGTTATTTCTGTTATAGATCGATTATTCTCATTCGATTATTGGAAACTTGATATTGTGTATTTATATTAGAAGAGTTTTAAAGAAATTCTAAAATATTATGTTTCATGACAAATCTTTTTAATAGTCTTATCTACAATATGCTCTTATGAACTAGTCAAATCATATTGCATAATACATAGGGTAGTCTAAAAGTTCTAAGAACTAATAATACTCTTCTTAACTAATACTTTTTAAATATTGTTGCGATCATTAGATAGCGTTAACAAATCATAGAGAATGTACTTGACGAATAAGGAATGCTTACGTTATCATAAAGACGATGAGAAGCAGTGTTGCTTCACATGTTGTCATCTTTTTAAGACAAACAAAATATTTTCTCCTTTTTCAGATTAGAATTTCACTCTTACTTCAGCCTAAATTTTCATTATATTCTTATCCTTAAAGTGAATGTGATCTTTCGTTGAGATTTTTACAAAAAGTCTTTCTCTATTTCTATGTACATGAATATGACTTTAAAACGGTTAGAAATGCAAATAATATTGATAACAATGATATATATTGTATAAACACTTTGTTTTAGTTATAACAAAGTCTATGAAAAGGGTGTGGGTGTGAAATTGGGTGTGGTTTAGAGCAAGACCAAGACCAGCACCCACATCCACACCCTCACACCCACACCCACATCCTCTTGAATGTTCAGAGATTTTTTATTTATGATTATAAAATAAATTTCCATAGATAATGAATATTAACAATCGCTTAAGTTATATTTACATCACCCAATGAATCAAATAATGATAGAATAAATATCGAGTTTTGTAATGAAAAAAAGTTCTAGAGAAACGTGATAATATGTCACTAATATCAATCATAAGATCTGCAACGATAATACCCTCTTCACTACTTAATACAGCAGGATTTTTATATCTCATAACATTCTTAACATCAAACAAACATATATGAATTCCAATACATTTAAGAAAAAAGAATCTCTTCTCATTTATCATACTGAGTTAATTATTAATGATTTGGATAGTTTTAACTAATTTATTGATAATACATTAAGATAGTTTTCTTTGTTTATGCATATATTTAATAAAGCAAGTAAACGGAAGATTCGACTAGAACTAGATGCATAGATTTTGTCGAATAAAACAAAGAGTCTCGATATGAGTGAAACCTTCATCAACGGTGAACTCTACTTAATGAAAAAATAAACGTCTGAAAAAAAAGGTTCCTTAACTGATGCGTTATAAATCATGTGTTCTGCCAAATAAAAATTTCCTTCGAAAACTGTGCTGTAGTTTTAATAGATTATTCAATATCTACAAAGAGAGTATATGTAATTAGAAAAATAAATCTAGAACATATTGTAAAACCAATACTGTAAATATGAACGGTTAGACATATTGTTAAAAAAGAAAAAGGCTATCTGATAATTAATCAATACATAGAGGAATTGAATATTTGTAATCTGCGGCTATTACATTACCTATAACTTGAACAACTGCTCGCTCAAGAAATCTTTTTAAACAAATAAAACTTGATCGATTTCGTCGGACCTTTTTCTTTCATAATATTTAAGTACATTATACTATGTAACAATCATAAAATTTATCTCTAAAATCGATGCGTTTAGATCGTTTATTGTGAGTGTGATCATGAAAAATATTTCTCCACATCTCAGTAGACTCTTATGCCATAGAACAGCATTTTTGTTTAGAAAAGCTATTCATTTGTTCTATAAAAAAGCGTTGAAAAAAAATTCTACAAGAACGCATTCGAACGATGTTTTAAGTTGAAACTAGAAATAACGTTTTCTTTTCATGGATGATTCACTCTTCCCAATAAACTGAACATTGTATCGATTAGTTTTTTTTGTTTTTGATAGCATTCAGTTTTCTTATATAAAGATTATCACAATACGTTTATTATAAAGGAAATTAATTACAAATATGTTAAGAAATGAAGATATCTTTTTATTTGAAGTTTTTCTGATTGAAAATAACTAACGAGATGAAACTTCGTTATGATCAGCTATATCGACGAATTTCTTTCTACAATAAAAAGATAGTTTTGTAAGATGAATACATTTATTTTAAAGTTTAAATAAATGAAACCCTGGTGATTAGAAATATTTTTTCTTGTCAAGCTAAATAATTTTTAACTTACCATTCGAATAATTTTTTGAAATTAAATGCTTTCAAATTTCGAATTATTGATTTGAAATCATGACCATCTAAAATGAAAAATAAATTTGCTGTCATATCATAACTAAAGAATAGATTGAATACAATTACATTTATTGTGCTATTTCAAGTTCTTTAATAGTTCTTTGAAAAAAACAAACCTAATCCAGCCTCCCTAAATGAAAATATTTAAATTTGAGTTAAAAAAAAGAACATATATTTACTTACATCGATGCTAGAAAAAGATCTTTATCCATATAAATATCGAGATCAAATTGTTGTAGAACTTCAATATCAGCTATAACACCTTAAATAATCATATGGATAGAAGTATTTTCCTCTTAAAATAACTTACTCTGATATCTTTCAATAATACAATTAATATTAACTCGTTGTTTGAGACTTGAAATAAGAATTTCTTTGTTTTTATTATTACGAATAAAACCTTCGACTAAATAAATCTCGATTGTTCGTGTTAATGACTAAATAGAAAACGGAAAAACAAAAATTTCGATTCAGTTAAACAAAACTTTGTACTATACTTCAATTTCATTTGTATATTTTGCTCCATAAGGTGAAAAGATTGTTTCAACGTCAATACCAAATATTGGATCCATATCTATTAATGATATTCGATTTGATTCAGAAAAGCATCAAATTCATCTGTATATATATACATGATGTCTAGGCTGATTACATAATGCTTATTTTAGTCAAGTTTGCTCGACTGAATGAATCTATCAACAAAGAAAAATTCACAACTTTTTTAATTCATTGAAGTTCATCATAGACATTATGATTGTTTATTACCAAAATGATATTTATGAGAAAACTTTTATGCAAATATTTTTGGACCTAATTGTAAACGATATCATTCTTTTGTTGAGTTTTTCATGTTCAAGAGCTGGACATGTCCATTAGACACCAATTTGTAGTATCCAAGGGCGATTCGATTACTCTCGAGCCTTCTCCATAACTATTAGATCTTACTGTCGTTTTCTTCTAATAGGATATAACTACGATCAGTTCCATTTTGGATTATTCCACGGACAAGAGTTTTTATTACAACAGAATAGCAAATATGAGCACCAACATTCAAATTTACAACATTAAAAGCTAAGTCTTGAATACTATAGTGAGTCATTCTACTGGTATGATACGCAATCGATTTTTTATTTTTGCAATAATTGAAATCAGATGTGGAATGAAAAATCGCAATCCACCAGACAAAGCGGGAAATATACTTAAAAAAGTTGTTAAAATTTCTAGAGCATCAAATTGATAATGATATGCATATATACATTCTTTTGGTACACAAGCATCAAAATATCTCTCATAAGACGTGTCATTTATCCATGTTTCAATAAACATATTATAAGCCAATGTCTCAATTGTATCATCAACAGCAAAGCGTGTCAATGCAGGATCAAATCTTATAGGAATACCAAATAGAGCAGCGGATACTTCCAACGTTATTTCTGCATTAAGATACATTACATCTCGAATTTCATTAATGCATGATACAGAATAGAAACAAGATAATGAAGAGCGCAACAGAACAATGAGTTAAAGCTGGACGAGAAGTTTGCCTTGACAGAGACCTTACGAAACAGAACCAGTTAGATAGACCTTGGTATAAAATTGAAGTTTATTATCTAACTGACTCTGGGGCTGACTTCCCACAAAAATGAGCAACAGAATGACGATTTAAACCACAACTGAAACGAAAATAACACCTGGAAAAAGAAATCTTAACCAAAATAACGATACTCACGACAATCATAGCTGAGGCGACTGCTCCTAATGAGTCTCTGGTTTCTGAGACAATCAGAAACGATCCTGAGGTCAAAACTTACGAATGCCCATCGTTGATGGGGAACATGACTAGGGACAAGAAATACTTCGAATAGTGGCAGTAAAAACTAATGTCTTCTGCCATAGATACAAGGAACTTCTGAGCTCTGTTTTAACAACATTAACGGTATGAAGCAGAACAGTAAATGGTTGTGAAGCATGTATATTTTAACTATTCTGTGCAACGACGGAAAGAAAAAAGACAAAGCAATGATTGGATGCACATTTTTTCAACCATTGATTAGCTCTCTTTCTCTTCATTGTTGACGCTTTCTGATCGATAAGTGGTAGAATAAGCAAAAGAATGAAAATATTCTTATGAAAAAAAACCGTCTATCCCAACAATATATGATCATGCATTATCCCGCGTATACGGTTGAATGCATTTCAACCAAACATTATTTCGATATGCACATAAAAAAAATAATACTTTCATTTTCTTTATTAAACGAGGTCGATACATTACCAACGTATTGTACAAGTCCTCACTAAATTTCTTACATCAGCACAATCAGCAAACGTAAATCTTTTGAAATTACAGTACTTTTCTAAAGGTATGTTACTCTATCCTTATTCAGAAGACTTTTTATCCTCAAGTAATACTACTAACGAAATAACGTTCTCTTTACATTCAAAATGAACTCATTCATTGGAGACCGGGATTAATGTAGTGTGATTATGCAAATTTTATTCTCGATATCCCATCTTTTTTATGCTTTTTATACAATTTTTGCGGACGCTTACGAAATTAATACAATCATCAGAGGATTTGTGCTCTTATTGAAATTCGCACGAACATTCTAGATTTCGTGAGTTTTTCATATAAAAACTTTGTTTTAATATAAAATCATATCTCAAATTTCGATCTAAAACTTTCTTAGCATGAGAGCTTAGCTATGACTTCCTCGGTTATCAAGTTTCAATATGCGTGAAATTTACATATGATGCAAGTAATATTTGCCCTGAAAATCTTCTTGCACCATGAAATGGTAATATGGGGCTGGTGATATCTCAAACCATTTGACGATGAGTTGAAAAATACTGGTACATTCCTCGTGGGCCTTAGGGAACTCGAGCCATAATACAGGTTCATATTGGTCGAAGAAGCCTTCCGCATGTTTTCATTTGTGTTCCACATAAAGGGTGTACCATAAGTAACGACTCCCTTTTTGTTTTCTTTCAATTTTTTCGTATTCAACCATGGGAAGATGTTTAACATA